TAGGCCCCATATGAGGAGAGACTCTGGGAACTAGGCTTGTTCAATCTGAGTAAGAGGAGGCTGAGCGGTTACTTGATAGCCACCTATAAGTATGTCGGGGGGAGTACCAAGATCTTGGGGAGCAATGCTTCAGGAAGGCACCCCTTGGGAGGATGAGGACCAATGGACACAAACTAACACAAGTATGATTTATACTGGACATAAGGAAGAACTTCTTCTCTGTAAAGGTAACTAGAACCTGGAACACACTCCCAGCAGCGGTGGTGTGGTTGCCATCTTTGGAGGTGATCAAGAGGAGGCTGGATAAGCACCTCACTGAGTTCATTAACCTCCTGCCTGTGGCAGGGGCCCAGACTTGATGACCTTCCAGGCCTCTTCCAGTCCATTGATTATATGATTTTATGATTCCCTTTGTTACAGCTCTAGGAGTGGTAAATATAGAATTGGGGAGGTTATTTTTGTTTGCTTTGCGTGCATTATTCTTATCTGCTATCACTGTGAATCAGTAAAAATTGCCTATTATTGAATGGAGAGGTTGTGGTCAGTATCAGGTTTTGGATCTGCCTGGAGTAAGGTATCTGGGTCATAAAGCCAGTGCCGGCATATAACAGCCCTTTTATTTGCCAGGTTTTTCTTTTCTAGAATACTAATATTTAACTGAACTTGTTCTCTCAAGCTTTTTTTTTTAATAATTCCAATTCCCTTTATTTTGCAATCTGAAATGATCATTTTTCCCTTAATCATTTTTAAAAAATCATGAACCAGATCTGAATTCTATCTTCCATCTTATCTATTAGATAAAATGTACTTACAGGTTCAATTTCCCTCATCAGTAGATGTACCATCTCCTGGTTCATGGCACTGGGAAATATTCAAAGTCTGTGTTAAATTCCACAACCTTTTGGAGTCTTTCTCTCCTCCTTTTACTGATCTTGATCTGCAAGTCCAAACTTAGCTGAATTTCTATAGATTGGTCCATTACCTAGTTCAGAGTGATGGCTGGCTACAAATCACCTATCAAGCGCTTGTTCCCAACTCTCTTTTCTGAGAGAAAACCCACCATCAGAGTTGAGAACTAGTTTGCTGCTATCAGTCCTTCATTTCTGTTCATCTTCCCAAGCTGTCACTTGAGTTATGGTTGTGAATAGAACCAAATAACTGGAAATGATCAAAGTAGAACCTTTTCATTTTGCAGTAAGTTTCAATTTTTCAAAATGTATTTTCATTCTTCATTGGAATGCAAACAAAAAGTCTCTCACATGTTTGCAAAAATGTGGATTCTAAGTTTAGCCACATATTTGAGATACCAGTATAGGCGGAGCATGGTGGTCAAAGCACTGTCATGTGCCTGTGCGTATATGAACATGCTTATTCTTTCACTTGGTTCAAGTTTCTGGGTTTCCTGATTTACAATTCTTAATTTCAGGGACTTCAACCTGTATTTCCCACACAAGTATTCTAGCCACAAAGCTAGTGAATACAAGTTTCTTGTTATCCAAATGCAAATGTCAACAAGTATTTTGGCTTCAACAAAACAGCATACTTAATCAGAAATATTCCTCCAAGAACCTCAACAAAAAGGCTCATATGGAGTTTCACTCTCAAAGATGGTGAGGTTTTGAATGATTTAATCTGGGACAATCCAACCTCTGCCTTCTGAGTCTCTCGATTTACAAACATGGAAGAAAACTGTAGACTTTGTTTATTCTTGCCTCTCTTTAGCACTCTATGGCTGCCCAAACAAAGATTTAATCTCCATCTGCAAGTTAATGTTTAGCCTTTTCTGAGATGCATTTAGATGCTTTATCTTTAGATCTTTAGTTCTTATAAAGCCTTTCATGAAGTCTCTGCCTCCTTTATCAGAACTTGCTTTAATTCATTTTGCTAATTTTCTAGTTGTCTTCTTTTACTTCATTTTTGCCATGTATGAGTTCTGCATGCATATCCATTATTTGCTTCACCCTGGTTCAACAGGAATACTGGTTTATAATTTCTCTCTAGGTCAATGGGAACCTATTATATACTAACCTTGCCTATTATATACTAACCTATTATATACTGCCCTTTTCAATATGAGCCAATATTTACAGGTTTGCAGATTGTTTTCATTAGGAAGGAAAATTGATAATGGAGTCCAATATTTTCTACAATTCTCTTTATTTACAAAGAATGGATATAGGTTCCTATTTTCCTGAATAAAATAGGAATCAGATAGTCAGAAATGGTTTCTTTAGGAACTTTTTCCAGGCAGTATTTTCACAAAAGCTCTGTCTTCACTTTTCTCAGTCACATTACAAATTAATTTCTAGCTTCATCTTGGTTGTTCTGATTACTGACTGTAGCTCTAGTGTTTCTGATGGTTCTTTCATATATGCTTCTTTATAGTACCTGCAATTCAATCAACTCTAGTCTCTATTTTTACCATAACCTAGGACACACTGCTTGGATGAAGCACTGGCCGGAGTGGATGGGGAGGGGAGGAGGGGCAGAGGAAGGGCCATGGAGGGGCAGACCTAGAGAGAAGTAGAAAATTCCTGTGTTTTACTAGATGACATTGGAAATCAGATTCCAAACATTTATGTGCATCTGTTACAGAGGATAAGGCATAAAGCAGAATACAATTAGGTCTGTGTCTGAGGTCACCTGGGATATGCAAAACTTCAATAAACTAGTTAACCTTCAAAGGAACTCACCTGAGACACGTGCAATTTCAACAGGCTAGTTAACCTTCAAAGAAACTATTCAGCTTTGATCCTAGCTTGCATCAAGTAGGTCTATGTCCCACTCTTTGCTCTACTGCTGTGACAAATGTCAAGGTGCTCTTTAATACACTGGATCTGTCACTAGCATAGTGTTTCTGTATTATATGTATGGATAGGTACTTTACCCAAGGGGTTTCATATACAGAAAGAAGAGGAGAGTCTTTCTAATACTTGCTTAACAACTAATACTTAAGGGATATTATTAAACAATGCTAGAGGTCCTGGGTTTGCTAGAAGATTGCAAGTTGGCTGTGTTCCATACATATAATTTGAGAAAAAAGGCTATCCAGATCAATCTGTAGTCCATAACAATACCAAATATATGTGAGCTTCTTGTGGTACTTTCTAATTTATGTTTCTTTTCTTTTATTTAATCTGTTTTTCTCTGGTATTTTATTACAAAAAAACAAATAAAAACACTTTGCTTTAAGAGACTGTTAGTCAAAAATCACCTATTAGCATGTTCCTGAGCTGGAGTGCATGTACCCAAACCCCTGCAATGGGTGTTGCACCTGCAGGTTGTTAAACAGCTTGTATACTAAGGGTGTGTCTACAGGTTCATTAACGTACTGTAATTAAAGCGCATTAAGTTTAGTACTTGGATAACCAAGTACTAAATCAATGTGCAGTAACTCACACTACTGTGCAGTAACACCAGTGCACAGATTTTTTTTGGATGCCAGCTGCACAGTAGCTTATTAGCACAGGTTTTGCCTGGTATGCTACTGCACAGTGTTATTAGGCTACTGAGCAGTTAGTGTCTCATATAAAGGCACCCTACCCCAAGAATTCTACCCCAAGAAATAGCGGTAGAGGCCCAAGATCCATGCTGGTTATTTGCAGGAAGGAAACTGAAGTATTGTACCATGACAACCACTGAGACTTGCCTATACACACCCAAAACAAACGACCAGAAAGATTAATATCACTTGCTAAAGGTTTCATTTTGTAACCATGCTCCTCATTGCTAGTTAAAGGAAAGATATCAGGTAACTATATACTAAAACAGCTAAATCATCTCTTTGCACATACACTTACCCAATTTTCATATCCTTGTTATAAATACTTGCATGAGTTAGGCATATAATTGTATAACAGCTTTCCTAATATCCCTCTATATCACTACCATGATATGTGATATCACTTTCCTGGAATCCCTTTTCTAAAAGCCCTCTATATCACTACCATGAGACCAACTATGATCTGCTACAGGAATTAAAGAATCACTTACAAGCAGAAGAATACAGTTGGGAACAAAACAGAATTACATGGACAGTTTTATGGAAAAAAAGTCTTCCAGATCAGAATCAGAGTCTTAACAACTAATGGTTCATAGCTTGAATAAACAGAACTATTATTTCCACAGAGGGACCTATTACAATCATATTCATTTATTGAAAATCATAGAACTATACAGCTATTAATATACAGCTGTATTAAAATTACAGAACATGTATGCGGCATAAAGATAAAAGTTTTATTATTAGCTATCCATTGCTTGTAGCATAACCTTCCTTACAGTAGTACCTTCCCTTGAAAGAATTGCAAACCATTTTCCACACACAGTTATTTACTGTACCTTTCTATTATGGGTGAAGTAAATGATAAGAATAAGGTATACTAGAGAAAAACAGAAGACACTCACACAAGTGTCAAAATGATGAGATTTTTATATTAAAAATAAATTGAAAGTAGAAAAAAAATTAAGCAAGTCAGCCAAAGTAATTTCTGGACTGTATAGGATAAATCTAGGTTACATATAGAAACTTTGCCTTTGTTTCATACTAGTTTCTGAGCTTCTTAAAAAAGACTGCCCTTTCTAAAATTTCCCAACAACGATGAATAGCCACATTTGCTTATGCAGTCACAGCACTAATTCATTTCTAATTGCTAATAAAAAACCTACTTAATTAGCAGATTATATAATGATTTTTTAAAAAAAATATGAAATTAAACTCTATTTCAGTTCATGTTTTTAGTTGCAGCAGACAGCTAAGGCAGGAGAATTAAATATGTAGGAGTCCTGTCTTTTATGTAGTAACCATTTTACCCATTTTAAGATGGATAAGATTTATAAATTCTGTCATAACATAAAACAATGTTTCACTAGATGGAGAAAAAAGGGAGGAAATGCTAGTAGCATATGGAGAGCAGGACTGCCGTACATTGGAGCTATTTTGTGCTATTGCTGCAACCAAGATTAATGAACACAGAACAAATGGTTGACATATAACCTACCCATGGGAGTTCCGACACCATAACCTTTTGAGTCTATCAGGCCTCCAATCTGTGTTAGGTTACAGTTCCGCTGTGTGACAAACTCAATGGTTGTTGACTCCATTAAAAAGGCATAATCAGAGGTGAGTACACGCTGGATACCTTCTTCATTACTTTTGACAAGCACTGACTGCCTCCTGCTACTCATAAAGGCCCACATCTTGTCATACGTAGAGATTTTTGATTTCTGAAACATAAAATATTAAAATGCAATATTAATATAAGTACTATATTCATAAAATTATGTGAAAATTCTCAACTAGTACAGGATTTCTAGCAATAATAATTTCTTTAATATTGTATGTCTACAAATGGGCAAGATTGGTGAATGGGCTCAGCCCCTTTTTAGACCAAATAACTTGCCAGATTTTCAAGATTACTTATATGGGCAATTGTTCAGCTCCTTTGCAAATCTGGGGATAAATCCTGGACCCATTTTAAATACATAGCAAATCTTCCATTCACTTCAGTAGGCCTAGCATTTTCATCTCTGTCCATGTGTGTCACAGCTGGAACTGCTGAGCTTATGACTTTGAGATGTTTGACTCTTATTTCAGTTCTTTAACCATCACTGAGTTGGTTTTTTTTTAAATGACCCACAACATCTTGATTTGAAGGTAGTTAAAGTGTTTGACTGCAACCAGCACTGAGCAAGGACCTGGAATCAGGAGAACAAGAGTTCTGTATCCACCTTGGCTATTCAGCCTGACTTCTCCTTTTGATACCTCACCTTTCCCTTCAATAAAGTGATGGTGTTAGTGTTTACCCATCTTAAGGCTGAAACCTATATATAGCTCTGAATTATTATGATTCCTATTCTTTTGCATCATATTTCCCTCTCTTTTATCCAACAATGTACCAGGCCAAGATGTATAAAAAGATGTGCTGTACTATTATCTCTTAGTCAGTAAGCCAAGTGTAGAAAGCCAGTATAGAAGACTGGTATAACCAGACTCTTCAGGGAGTCACACCTCTGTTCATGTCAGCCATAACCATAACTTCTTCTCCAGCTCTGGGAGAGACACTGAGCAAAGACTGACATTGCAAACCTTTCTGAATTTCAGCTGACTGGCAGCTGTAACTTCTGCCCCAAAGGAAAATTAGTGGTGGATGTGAGATATAAAGAGGAACATTTATTCAGAATAAGGATGACTTTGTATCCCTGCTGAGATACAATCCAAGGCTTATTTCAATCTGCCTGGGGACTTCAGCAAATCTATCATTCAAGCATTTGAACAAACCCCAGTAGCCAACACTAATAAAATTGAAGAGTTTTATGTCCCTCTGCAAGGGCTCACTGTTACTGTGCCAAAACATGATATGCTATTGATTGCGGAGAATTTCAGTTGTAAATGTGGAGAAAAAAGATTTTTTATAAGAATATAATGGGAATAGAGAAGAACAAACAAACAAGATTTCCTTCTGGTCTAAGAATCAAACAATTCTTGCAAGCACTTGATATTAATATTACAATGTAAGGGAATACATTTGAGCTCCGTTTAACAGCTCCATGGGAAACAAAATTATGATATCATATAGTTAAGATGGAAAAACAATGTTTTCTAATAACTGCACAACTCTGAAAGAGCCCAAATCAACATTTATTTTCTTTTCATCATTTCAGCTTGACCCCAAGTGCATAAAACAATCTTTTTTAGCCACTGTGAAATATCCTGTACAACAATGACAACTGATACATGGAATGACTGACAAAAACTATCACACATTCCTGATGTGTGCAGGAAAGAAAAACCAAATGAACTATATGGGAAATGAAGTACAAATATGCCATGATGGATATTGCAAAAGGAATCACTGGGATGAAAACATATCGAAAATGGAAACAGTTGCTCTCTACTGATGCATCACAGTATGTGAAAAAAATGCAAGATGCTCAAAAATGAAAAGTATGCACTAAGAACCTCTACAGTAAGATGGATGAGAGAAATGATTTAATCACCTGGGAAAAAATCCCAGTTACATTGTAAAATGAAATAACACCATAACAAGGGAATGCTCCTAGCAAAGATGGGACACTTGAGAGAATCATTAAAACAATGAAAAATAAATCAACTTCTTATGCATGATTTGTGAGACAGCAGAAGACAGAGCAAAGTTTAGAACCTTAGTGCAAGGTACTATCCATCTATCTACCAAAACATGTAACCGTGAAGGACAGTGTGAAACACAGAATGACCTCACTTCATTTCTCATGCAGGAAGGAACAAAAATATATATATATATATCTCCCTTGTACTGCTTTTATTCATCCCAGAAAAGGTAAAGATTATAGATGAAATGATGCCAGAGAAAACAGACAGCCCACTAGTGAGCACAGATCATATATTTGCAATAGCTTTATAGCACACTATTATAAAGGAGTTTTCAAAATTGCTTTATACACAACAGGGACACTTTGGACACAAAGAACAAGAGTTTGGTTTCAAAGTCACACAATCCCATATAAATCTTATATTTTTCCTGTTTTTAGTAACTCTAATTGGAATCCATGAGCCAAAATATTAAAGACATCACAGGTTTGTTTGATATAGAAAATGACACTATAATATGTACACAGCACTTCTGATGGCTAAGATTCTGACGTCCATAATGATAGAAGCAGATGTCACAATTTAGACGATGTTTCCATCTTCCTTTTCTGTGAGAGAATCTGATGAATTGACAAACAGGCTCCAATGATGAAGTATATTATTTTATTTTGGTTAGCACAACAAAACAGTCATTATCTGACCTAACTGCAAATCACTTTCTTCACTGGGAGTAATGTGTAGATGGGATAACGTGTGGTGACATGATTTATTACTCTTGTGTTCCCACAGTAACACAGGAGATAATGCAGTATAGTAAATAGGGCTGTGCAAAACAGCACCATTTTGTTTTCACTTCCTTGTTGCCATTTTGAAGGGACAGTGTTTCGTTTCGCTGTTTTGAAGCACTGTTCCACTCAGTTTTGTCAACACTGCTTCGCATTTTGAAATTTCGCCCTTATGCTATAATGGGGAATCATGAAAATGTCCATAACTTTGTCATTTCTGTCCTGATTTGAATGAAAGCAACAGGGATGATAGCCTCTGTGGAGGCCACGAAGTCTATCAAGTTTTAAGGAGATAAATACAGGGGTTTCTGGGAAACTGCACCTCCAACTGTTTAAAGTAAAACTCATGTCACTTGTAAGTGTGAAGGCACAGGGGGATGAAAACAGCAGGGGCAGTAGTCCCTGCTGAGGCCATGAAGTCTGATAGGTTTCAAGGAGATAGGTGCAGGAGTTTCTGGGAAAATGTACCTCAGACTGTTCAAAGCAAAACTCGTGTCGCTTGTAAGTGTGAAGGCGCAGAGAAAGCTCAGTTCAAACAATGCTTTTTATATTGTTTTTTGTTCCTTCCCCAGAGCACTGGGATTGAATGGGATCTCAGGGAAGAATCACAGTCACTGGCCAGCTACACATGTCAATATCAGAGCAGTCCTCCCCCACTCTTCCTCCTCCCTCTCCTTAGTTTCTGTTTAGCTGCAAGCAAGCCCAACTTTGAAACTTCAAGCTTTTCGAAACTTTCGAAATGTTTTGAGTGCCCTCGTTCCATTCCAAGCTGTTTGAAGCCTTTCATTTAATTTTGATTGTGCTGTTTCAAGCTCAAAATGCATCAAAACAACTTTGAAATGAAACACCTGTCGGAATTTCGCAGAGCCCTATAAAGCAAGATGCCTATGCTTTGTAAAATTTGCATTAAATTGGAATACAAAACAGAAGATGGCAATGACCCTGAAATATCCTAAGTAATTGGAAAACTGGAAATGAAGAGGTTAAGAAAATCAAGAAGTTCAGTTATCTGGTGCATGAAGGCAGCTATCACAATGACAACCAGAGGAGGTTGCCAACAGCATATTCAGTGCTCATAAATTAAAGATTATTTGAAGATAACTGTGTGTGTCAGGGATCATGAGTATAAGAATGGCTAAGCCTCTGACTTAGCCTATTGCTATGCATGTCGGGGAAGACTGGAGAGGCAAGGCAGCATCTTTAGTAAAGTGTTGTTATTACTATATACTGCAGTACTGGACAGAAAAGAAAAATGTCTGAGCAATGCGGCAATGTTGAATGAAATGGTGGAGAGAATAGCAGGATGCTGTGTGATTGCAAGGGATAATGTCAAAATAAAGAAAGATCAAAGGGAAGACGAAGGAAATATGGTAGCTAGAAACATCAAACATTGTGTTTGAGAGAGCAAAAGTGGATGAATATCTATCAGGAGTGTGTAATGCAAGAACTTTTTTTTATAAAAGGATTTGTATTTTCCTCTTTTGCAATTTTAATAATAGAAAATATGCTTTGATTTTGTTCCTAGCTTCCAAAAAACTTTACATACAATGAACAATATCTCAGGCTCAGATATAGCCACATAACCTCTTTTAATTCAGTAGAGTTGGGTGACAGTAAAGGAGGGTAGAATATAGGTAATTTATTGTATGCATATCATTTTCTTTCTGGAATAAGAAAGTAATAAAGTAACAAACAAACAAATAGTCTCTCTCTTTCCTTTCCCCCTCCCATACTGACCCAGTCCCCATTTAACACACACCCAAATGTTAAGGGCTAATTCACATATACTGATACTTTTACATTTCATGTAAATGAGAATTTGCCCTAATGGAGGCAGCCATTTCACTGAGCTGCCTCTCTCTGGCTTGATTGCTGTCTCCTGAACCAAAATATGTTCCCCACTTGGTTGTGCTCTTCAAGAACACACTCTGCAATGCCTTGTTTGTGGCCTAGTGGGTAAAGCATTTTGCTGGGAAATGGAAGCTGCTGGTCCAACCCCCTTCTGGCTGAGGGGTACCTGGCCCTCCTACTCCCTATTTGACTTCAAGATAAGAGGACTGTCATGATCTTCCCTCTTCCATTTCACTTCTGGGAGTTGTGCACAGAATTGGACTATCCTACTCTACCTAGGTGGAAAAAGAATTCAAACTACGCCGTTAAGAAGCTTTTGAAGTATCTCTTGGGTGAATAAAGGTGCAACAGTATTTAGTTCTAAGTGTTTTTATGCAGTTACTTTACTGTGGAACAGGCTTGAAGGTACAAGGAGAAAAAGCTAATTATGATACTTTAAAAGAGGAGGGACTTGCTGAGGACCTACTGAATCCCTCATTATTATTTTGTCTGACCACTCT